ACTTGCTAGTATCAGTTATATAATATTTTCCTCTCTGCTTGCTTTCCTTTGCTTTTAGTATATATATATATATTTAGTAATGCCACTACATCGTTATTATCGAGGATGATTCGTCTATGTTTGAAGAAATATCAGCTTAGCATCTTTTTTTATATGATTGTTCTATACAACTCATCAGAAGACAAATAAAACATCAACGTCATTATTTTTTCTATTACGGATAGCAAAAAAAGACCTACTTCTGTGTTTTTTCTCATTTCCTGTTGCTCTTTTTTTTCTCTATTTCAATAGAATCTGTTACTATATAAGAGTCACAGTTATCTATAGTGGCATATTTGACATATACTCACGTCTGATAAGATTACGATGTTAAGATATCTAATACGTTGTCGAATTATTTTACAAAAAATGAGAAACGTCAGGTATGTGTTAGAATGTAAATGTATATCAGTAGTTATTTCTATTACATTTATCTGTGTACAATAGGTCCAGGCAGGTTCGTCATAGTTTCTTTTATAGATATAAATCAGTACTCTATTCATATAAAATCTTTTCTCTTACAATATTTGTTAAACCAACACTACTAAACTTTTTTTGTTTGAATTAACATACTTCCCCAAAAAAACAATTACGATCAACATTTTTTTATTCTTATGGCTTGACACGTACAGAAGTAATTGCATAGAAAATAGTCGTATTAGTAATGATTATACTGCATCTTGATTATCATCATCGTCATCATCATCATTGAAGAATATTGTTTCAAATACAAGAATGACAGATAAATTAGATTTTTGTTCTGTCTTTTGCATTAATAATCATAGTGCTATATTGCCGTCAATCAAAATAGAATTTATTATAGTGGAGACTATACGATGAAATTAGATCGACATTCTATCGTTACTAATGCATTGATCATACATCGGAAATCTATCTGAAGTAACTGAGCGTAAATGTCTTTTTCTTTTCTTTTTAGATGATAACATTAATAGAACAACTATGTTGTTCTTAATATAGTATTGGAAAATCGATGAAATTCTGAAATTTTTTCTAATTTAATTAACAAATACAAATATATACAAAAGAAAAACGATATGGAACCAGCATCACGTGAAAAATTACTTCGATTTCAATTAAGTGGACCAGCTGATGAACAGGTATTTTAATAAAATTCAGTAGGAAAAAATAGAACATAGTTGCTTGAATCTTTTGATCATAGAAGGACCTTGATAAGATATATATATAGAACATGTAAAATATTTTTTCTCGCACGTCTTCATTGATTATTATATTATTTCAGCTTGCGAACATGAATAGTTCTCAAAATGCATTGAACTAAACATACTTTTTGCACGTTGTATTTTAAATTGAAATTTAATCATTCATTTTTTTTGTGTCGTATTTGACCTAGTTGATAGTGCATTTATGATCATCTCGTAATATAAGTTGAAACCTTTTTTAATCTCTCATCAAGATTTATTTCTAATTGAAAGATGAAGATTTTTTCATTAGTTGATTATTTTTCTCATAAACTTGTTTTGACAACTATAAATAGTGTCTTTGGAAATGGTAAAAAATTATAAGAGAAAGATTTTGAAATTTCTTATTTCTTTTTTCTTCTATCATTTCGTATAAAATAATAAGAGTTCTATTTATTATCATCCGAGTAATTATTTTTTAATTAATAGAATATCTTCGATAAGAAATTCTTATTTTTTTATATGAAAATATCTATTATTCTATTAATAAGAATGGCATACATTGGTTTAACAGCATCGACTGACTGCTGCTGACACATAAACATTTGTATTGACATAAGTTGGCGTTTTTATTTCCATGATTAATTTCTTTTTTTGCGTCTCTGAATTTTACCTTATACGAATCAAAATATCATCATAAGAAAACAAAGAACTTTAACAAGATTTTATTTATTTTTTTCTTATAAATATATAAACATAATTCAACTAATCAACTGTAAAAAAAATTAAAAGATAAAATAGGAAATACCATTATGCACTAAAAATAAAAGGTATTTTCCATATATAGATTTACTCTATAATTGTATAGAATTTTTGAGCACATGTGTTATTTGTAATCATCTAATCCTTTCTCTTTCCATACTTCCTATTACAAGATTTCTTCTTTTTCCTGTTTCTCACATTGCCTTGACGTTTTTCTCTAACGTCGGATGTCATTTGGGCTTGAGCGAGCAAAATAAGCAAATGACAACTTCACTAACACGATACAACCACTACCAGCATTCATTTTACGTACTACTAAGAGGCATATATACGTCGAAGAAAAGAAACGAAGAAAAAAAAAGAATAAGAAAAATAGCAGCAAAGTGTAAAAGCTGCAAATGCAATGATGATTTTCTTCTGTTACTCTTGTTGATCGTTCTGTTTTTGCTATTCTCTCAAAGAACAAAAAAAGGAAAATAACAAGACTATGTACCGCGTTCCCCGAACAATTTCAATGAATCGCTGCAGTATATGCTCGTTTTTTCTTGATTTCTTTTTTTTGATGCATACATCATTTCTTCATTACGTTGTTAGTTTATAAAAGAAAAAAAAATTGAAAAGAAAGATAGAAGAAGTATGAGAACCTTAGAATATAACTATTTCTATATATTGTCTATAAAATAGCGCAGTTGCCATACATCTTCTCATTGAATATATTTGATCATCTTATTCACCTTTTTTTTCGCTTTCTCTCTATCAGCCGAGAATCCGATTACAACCATAACACACTCATGCCCATATATATATAAACATTCGGCGCCTATTCATTGTGTCAATAGACAGAACAATATAATAAATCGATCGGTTTTTTTTCTATAAGATATATATATTGATTAATTCGTTCCTTCGTACTAAACAAAATGGATGATTCTGAACGAGCAGGATTGCTTGTACAACTTTCAAATATTCAACAAAATCAAGTGAGTTACTTAAGTATTGTTATGATATATATATATATATATCCTATTCTTAAATATTTAAAAATAGATTAATAAGATAAAATACAAGTTCGAGAAAGTTTCAATCATATGTTTGTAATGGTGAATGTATTTACTAATGCCATAGATTCTATTAATCTCTGTCATAAGTTGACAAAAGAATAATAATATTTATTATTTGTACGATCTCAATAATAGATTTATATTAACGAAACTCTCGACCAATAACTAATATTTTGATATAGAACATAAAAATTTATTGTTATATAAATTTCGAATTTATTTATATTGCTTCAATAAAAATAATGAAGGCCATTTTTAAGTACAACAAAGATAAGCAAATAACCTTTTCCTTATCTATCGTTTTTTAATGAACTGTATAATCAAATTCATTGTACTTATCAGTTCATTTAAATATAGATAAACGCTTATCCAACACGTTTTTTAATTGCTAATAATAACTAATATTTATCTAATGAATTAAACGTTTTTTATTTAGAAACATGTAATTCGATCAAATAAACTTGGTCTTGATTATACTGTTTGGGTTCAAGTAAGTTTTATAATTATTCAAATGGTTTTATTATAATATTCATATTATTTAGGATGATACTGGTAACAATGCAAAATGTTATGTAATGACTATACATGATCTTGGTTGCAGTCGTAAGATAAAATGATATATTCTTTTTTTTTGGAATAAAAATCTGGTTGTTTTTTTATAGATTCGATTTTTACTGAATTTGTTTCTCAACCTGAAATGCGTGCACTGTAATTTATTAAAATTAATTTTATTAAATTTTTATTTTAATTTTTTTTCATAGTAAACAACGAATTGTATGGATACATGTTGATTTACCTGGTCAAGAAGATGATGCTCTTCCTTTAAATATCGAGTAAAACTAACTTTCATAATTATATTTTCTATTTATTTGTATTTAAGGAAATATCCATCTTTGGATGATGTTGGAAGTGAATTAGTGAATATTCTTGATTTTTTAAATGTTCCACAAGCGGTTGTATTTGGTGAAGGTGCAGGAGCTAATATAGGATGTCGTTTTGCTATTGAACATCCGTCTCGTGTTCATGGTGTTGTATGTATTCATCCGACAGGTACAACAGCTGGTTTTATGGAAATGATGAAAGATAAACTTAATAATTGGAAATTGATCCATAAAGGAATGAATACAGATGCTGAAGCTTATCTTATTTGGCATCGTTTTGGACGCGTAAGTTTATAGAAGAAATTATTGTTTATTATTATCTATATTGTATTTCTTTTGTCTTCTTTAGGATGCAGCTAAGGTATGTATTGAGTTAATCTATATATTGTTTTTTTTTCGTAATAGCAAAAGTATCACTTTCAATAATCTAATATTGATTTGAATAGCAACAGACATTTCCTTTAGTTAACGCTTGGAATAATTCGATTAGAATCTAATCTTTTTAATACTAAAAGAAGCTCAATAGATTTGATTAAACATTAAATAAGACATAGCATGATCTTGTATATATGAATTATATATAATTAGTTGTTAGAAAAACTACTTCCATTAAAATAACTCTGAAGATATTTTAATAATAAGTAAATAAATGATACGATTTATGCGAAAGTTGAAGAAGTACAAATAAACTTTGATGAAATTTATAATGAGTCAATATGCATGTTCATTAGGATTTCCTTTTAATCGCATGCGAATTTTAGGTAGCGGTAAAAGTCAAAGATAGTTTGTTATATTTGGATAACAAAAATTTTCCTTAGTAGTACTATAAAGATGATATAAATTCGGATCTAAAGAGAACTTCAGCTGTTTATAAGTATTACGAATGACAATAAAAAAAATAATTATTGAGAGATTAACCAATTATAGATCTTACATATTCAATAGTATTTGAGAGCAACAGCTCGTAAACAGAATATCATGTGATTAATTTTTCTCTTAGAAGCGTTGTCTTCGATTAATATGATATTTTATACTTCAACATATTTAAAAGAGATTCTATTTATTTTTCTCGATTAAATTAGGGTTATGTTGATTCACAAGTACTTGAAGCAAATATTCGTGAATTTTCCGAAAAACTTTATCAAAAACGAACAGCTAAAAATTTAGCTCTTTTTCTCGATGCATTTCTTAAGTAAGTTAAAATAATAAAGATTAATTGTTATATACAATCTGTCTATCATTTATTAATAGTCGAACTAATCTTGTGGATAAATTGGACAAATTAACGTAAGTTATAAAACAACAATAATAGATAAATATAAAATTTTGTATTAAATATTATTTTTGATAATAGTGTTGATTGTCTTGTGGCTGTTGGTAAGAAAAGTTCTGTATTACATACAACAGAAAAATTCTATGAAAAACTTCGCGAATCACGTGATAATCCACAAAAAATGGTTAATTCACCAATACTTATTGCAGATAATGTTGGTGATATACTCGGCGAAGCAGTAAGAAAAAGAAAAACAGAAAATTTCGATTTTATTTTATTTTATTTAGCCTGATGTTTTAGCCAAATCAATGCAATTTTTCTTACAAGGAATTGGTTTATGTATGAATTTGAAATTTTGTTTAAAATATATGTATATGTTGTTATTCTATTAATTTAGTATCTGGTTTACCAATGGATGCCGCTTTAGTTGGTTTAGGTCGTTTATCTCGTTCGATGTCAATGGAAGAAGCTGATCGTCCACGACGAAGTTCTGTACTTAATCCATCATCACCCGGTACAACTTCACCACCAATTGGTTCACCACCAAAATAGTCATCATAACATTAATATATGTACATTTTTTCTTCTTTCTTTTTTGAGAAATGTCACAAATGCAGAATAAGATTTCTTTCCTTTTTTTTTGTCTTGTCTTAGTAGTATGTAATCTTATTTAAGTGACTTCAATTTTTTTTGCAGTGTTTGCTTTTCGTTGTATTTATCAGCAAGAAAAATAATAATCTAGCTCGTGTAAAATATGCTGCTATGCATTAGATTTAGAATATAGAAATAAACACAAAAAAAAACTTTTTAAAAATAATTAATCATTTATTTCGTTGAAATCTACATGAAAACATGTTGTCATGTTTATTTTGTAGTGGAAAATGTATAGACTAACGAAATTTTAATAATCGTATTATGCATGATTGAAATTGTTAAAACATTATGTAAATGAGACAATCGTTTACTAAAAAAATAATCAGATTGTAAAGCGTATTGATGTGCGAGCTCATTGATAAAAAATACGATAATATTATATTCTTTATAAACCCATAAAAAGATCTTGTACATACAATATTAACCCTTTAACAGGAGACTTTTGGATGAGCAAGTTTTGTCAATTTATTTCGCACAGAACGATATCTTTAATGCGGATTATTAGGGTCTGGGTGCGGGTCTGGGTGGGTGTACCTGCAGCTGTGGCTGTGGGTTTTGCCATGTTATCTACACTCATACCCACACCCTAATAGATATATTCAGTCTATGCAATATTATAGTATTTTATATCAAAATAATTGTTCTTACTTCACCGTAACCCTATAATCGAAAAGAAAAAAAAGTGTTACATATATGTCCCACCGTCTGTTAAAGGGTTAAGCGAAAATTTACCTATACTCTATCTATATTATAATGTGATTATGCAAGTCAATTGGTTTTTCTATTCTATCCTACGTCCCATATGCTGAAAGTTTATAATACGCAAATTGAAAGTATTTTTAAGAATTGTCACGAATTCTTAATCATTTTTGTTAGTACAATGCAGTCCTTCAGAAACTTCTCGTAAGTTAATAGCTTTAAATAGGTAACTATTGTTAGAATCTATTTAATTTTCTAAAGATGTCTATTTGTTTTTTCAGGATTAATCTATTCCATTTTCCTACCTATAAATAATAAAAAAAAACAATTTGATATTCTCTATATCATATCTTGATATTCAAAAAGAAAAACAATCTCATTAACACTTATACTACCAATTCAAAGTCTTTCTCTGAAATTAAGATAACATTTTTGTTTTCCTCATTTGAAGTATATCATGAATGTTTAGAAGCCATATTATAAATAAGAAAAAAAAAGAGTCTGACAAAGTGCTGTTTTACCATGCAGATGTTTTCTCATTTATTCTTTATTTCTTCTTCTTTTGTGTAGAAAACATACACATACTCAATCTCTTACAAAACTCAAAAGATTTACATAAAGACATTTGACATGCGTTAGCTACGCTTTAATATAAACTGAATTACACGCATCGAATTGTCATTTTAATAATACATCCTATTTCTAATGCCCTACTAAAGAGTTGAAAAAACCTACATGGATTAATATCAATAAAAATATTAAAATTTTTCAATTAGAAAATAATTATTTTTATGTAACTGAAAATATCTCATTAAAAATCTTTTTTTAATTATAATATCAATTCAATTTTTTTAAATAGTTTTTTTTCTCTATATTCTGAAACAAAAGAAAATAAATAGGTTAAATATTCCTTATAGTCAAATTAAAAAATATTATTTTTGTTTACGTCATAATAAATGTAAACATTTATTAACTATTTTGTCTATAATTTTAGAATAGATAATTATTTGTTTGAGTTTTTTTTCGATTAATTGTTATAAAAATAAATCCAGTTTATAAGTATAAAAAAAACAAAGTATTAATTTTATATAAAGATGTCATTTTTATTTTTTCAGAAGAAAAGATTCTTTCTTCTTCTTTTTTTTTTATATATTATAAAAGATGTAGCATGTGCGTCATAACTCTTCTAACGGTAAGTAACAACTACAGTATTGTCATCCTCGAGTGACGCGAATCGTCTAACATGCACATCAGGAAAAAAAATAGGGGAAAAGAAAGAATCGTGAAAATGAGAGAAATAGGATGAACTACGTCATTAACTCCTATAGTCACAGCAACAGCTCAGAGTACTGTGACAGATCGTGTCACATACATAAAACGTTAAAAGATAGAGAGAGAGAAGTCTTCTCTTCTTCTTCTTCTTCTTTTTCTTCTATTTCACTCTTACTTTTTTTTTTAATAAAAGCGTTGTCGTTGTTGGAGTAACAGTTAGAGAAGCTCTTCTTTTTTATTCTTTCTTTAGAAAACAGAAGGGAAAATAGAATACAAGCACGTACGACATTACGATGCATTTTGCTCACATAAGTAATGTGTTATTGTTAATCATTCTAATTGCTCAAGACCAGGTGTGCTGATCTTTTGTGCTTTTACATAAAACTTAGAAATACGATCTTCAAGTTAAAATGATGCATAGTGTGATTCGTCGTTCTCCAAGGTGAGTATATAAAAAAAAACAAGAAGAGAAAAGAAAACCTATGTCGAGTGAAGAAAAAAGAAATGTAGCAAATATATTTCAATATATATATATATAAAATAAATTGATTTATAAAAGAAAAAGATATATTTATCTAGTATAACATCGTCAACAGTGGCTGATCCATCAACAGTAACTGTGCGTATTGAAGGCGCATCAATAAGTGATTTAAATGTTCAAGATGTCGTAACAACATCATCATCAGATGATGATAATGATGATTTATATCAAAGACAAAAACAACAAAATAATAGTGATCGTTCTGTTCATCGTGTTTCATCCGGACCTACTCGTCGACATACATCAGCATTAGGAACTAATAACAGTAATCCACCGTATCATCAACGTCCTAGTCGATTAAGTACAGATGTTACAAGTTCAATGCGTTTACCACAAAATCGACCCATAACAGCTGTTTCCTTACCAGCAAAACCATTTGCATGTGATAATGAATGGGATCTTGATTCAGCACGTACATTAACATCTAGTCAACGACGGAATCCATCTTGTCCATCAATATCACCAACAAATGTACGCTCAAAATCTATACTTACAACACAACAAGTTCCAACTGTATTTATAACTACTTCCGAATGTCTTGGTAAGGAGAACAAAAATAAAATTAATTTTATTAAATATATATTTAAATTTAGGTAAAGAATTTCGTCCACAACCACGTCGTGATACACCAAGACGTTCACAATCATTAGCTAAATCAAATATTATCAATGATAATAATCCAGCATCTCCAACAATTCCAATTGTTTTTCTTTCCGATGACATTTTATTAGGTTCAATACGTGCCTTACAAAATGAAAGACAATTATGTAAACTATCTATTGATTATCTTATTGATGCAACAAATATGAGACCTAATGAATTAGCACGTAAAGCCAATGTTGGTGCTCGTCTTCCATGTCATTGTGGTCATACACATTCACGTTGTACTTTAACACTTGAATTCGATCAACCATTTATTTCAACAACATCAACAACAATATCCGATCATAATAATTTAAGTAACAGTAAAATACGAGAATTAAGTCGTACACAATTAGGACAACTATTCTCAGCTGTTAATCGTTTTATATCGAAAGCTCAACAAGAAAAAAAACGTATACTTATCTATGGTTTTGAATTATCATCAAATTCTCCATTAGCTGTTATTGCTATACAATATTTAATGGTAGCTGATGAACAATTATCATTAACTGAAGCAACACATCGAATACATCGTTTATTTCCTGTTATACCATTACAACATCAACATTATCCAATAATGGAAAAACGTTTTCAAGATTATTTAAAACAATTAGATAGAAGAATATTTCCAAGAAATTTTACTGTTAATAGTATAAGTGGTGATGGTAGTAGTAGTGGAACTGAAAATCGACAATCACCACATGAAACATCATGTGAATCATCTGAAACAACAACAACAACAACCACAACAGCAACAACAATAATAACAACATCAATGACAAATGGTACAAATGTTACATCATGGACAACTGTTCCAACGCCTATTGTAAATAATAGTGCTGATTCATCTAATCATTTATTTACTACACGTTCAGCTTGGGACACTTGAAATTGAAAACATCTCTTGTAATAATATTTTATTTGTTAATTAAAAAATTTCAAAAGAAAAAAAAAACATCCTATCTTTCTTTAATAACACAAAAAAATATTCATATACAAATCAAATTATTTTGTAGAAATTCGTTAACATCTGAAGTTATTGACACAATAAATTTTGATTAATCCTTTATAAATCTTATTAATACTTTAATTTTGACATTTTCCTTATGTTACTAAAAATAAAAAAGAATTATTTATCGTGTTAGAGAACAGGTAGTCTTATAATTTATTATCAAACATTTTGATTATATCCAGAAACTGTCGTTTGTTAGAATTTAATAAGTAATCATTATTAAACGGACGTTATATATTGAAGTTCGAAAATGTTCATTTAAACATCGTATGATTATTTATAGAAATTAATAAACTATTCAATGAATCTCTATATGAAAAGCTTGATAAAAGTAATCTTAATGTAGATGAGAATTTTTTTAAATAAGACTTCACTCATATAATAAATCGATATATATATATATATAAATAAAGAATTCATGAAAACAACTTGATTACAAATACGATGAAAGCTTCAAGGCAAAATGAAATACATTTTATAATTGAACACTAACAGGTATCTTCTTATCATTTTATCTGTGATAAATTATACTCTTGAGTAAATATTGTTATTGTTAAATTTATATTTCATCTCAATCCGTCTTCTACTATTAGTAAAGATTTAATGAAAATACAAATTAGTGAATTTTGAATCGATATCGTATGTCAATGGAAATAAAACGAGTAAATTAATTACTATGTATGATGATATCTAGTATGAAAATAAGTAGTATATTGATCAGTTCAAAAGAACACGCTCCCTTTATTTTTGCTAAGTTATATGTATGAATAATATAATTAGTAGAACGGATAGAAATTATTTGAGTTAGAGAGAAAGAATTTTTTGTCAACTTTCGCTGGTAATCTTTTACTTCAGATCAATATTGATGTCGTGAATACAAAAAATAATATACCGTCTAATCTAAAAAGCAAATTCAGTATTATATTACTATATGTTTTTAACACCGTCTAAAAGGTTGCCTTTAAAAATAGACAAAAATAAATGAGTTTACAGTGAAAGATCAATTGGTATGCATAAGATCATGGAAAATATGATAAGCTTTTACTAGTAAACTGTTTCCTTTGAAAAACCGGTCCGGAAGGGTAAACATGGATTATTGTCAAAATATTTAATGAGTTTTATTCATTTAAAAAATATCAAGAATTTATCATACATTAAAATCTCAATTAGTAAAGGATTATATTGTCAATGTGCTAATACTTTAACTATTTTCTATTCTCTATTTTACTTTTATATTACTACATTATTTACATATAATTTGATTGTTATATAACGAATGGACCAGATAAAATTGAACACTTTTGTTTGACGAATTCAATCATAGTTTCAAGACTTCTTTCGAAGATTATTCGATAGAGAATTTGTTTTCTCTACAAAACTTATTTAATCAGTTTCAGTGAAAATTCTACTTCTTTTAGTGCACATCTCGTAGATTTAGACGAATTATTTTAAAGAAAAGATTTTGAAAACATGGCAAGAATTCATTCTTTGGTAGATAAATACTATTTTTGTTTTTCAATTTAACACATAAGATCATGGCAGGATAAAGCATAGAATTTTATATTCCATGATCTTAGAGCAAAGTCTTGCGACTATGAATAAATTCCTCGAATGAAACAAATAAAAGTGACCGATTTTATCTAGCTTACTCTCAAGATAAGAAGAAAATATAGTTGTATACTTTAGATTTATTTTATGGATGACAGTCAATAAATTTATTAAGCCCAAGACATATAATACTGACTTGTATTGTTGACTAAATAAAACTAGATGACGTAGATGTATTTTATTTGTTTCATTTCCTTTTATATATATATTAAGAAAAACAATTTTAATGCTTGTTTTTTTTCTACTCAATCATCAGTATTAAATATGTTCATAAAACAGGATAAATTTCAAAGTTTTCTCTATTATATTTGATAAAAATTTTCAATTTATGCTTATACCAAAATCCAAAACGTTTATTCAGAAATTTTTATCATTTGGTTAATGTGTACTTAATTGTCAACAAAAAAAATCACATAACAGTTGGTTTAGCATAATTCATTGTCGGAGCTGTATAGGGTACAGCCCCTGCTGGATATATTAGTGGATAGTTTGTTATACCAACTGAATTTGTTTGATATTGATTTGGCCATACCTGAGGATACTGATTTGGTTGTGATGGCTGTAAAGTCACTTCACGTGATGTACCATTTCTTGAACGATTTGAATGTCTTACAATACATACGATACCTACAATCGTTGCAATTAGAATAGCAAGACCAGCAACTGAACCCACTGCGACTGCAATAATAGCACCAGTTGTTATTCTACTATTTGTTACATAGAAGTTTGCGGAAGACATGGTAAATATAATTGTAAGTCAATATAATATTTTGGTATTCGAATGTTTTTTCTCTCCTTTGAAAAAATAATACCGACAGCACACGGAGAAACCCAATATAAAAATGATGAGACTTCATTTTTACGCAGCGGCATAAGTACCCGTATAACGTTTTTTCTCTCTTATGTATTTAGTTTTATTTTATGCTGTAATTTGAAGCATCATCGCAAAAACAAATTTATTAAATGTTAAGTATATATGACATTGAAAAGCTAAAAATTTTCAAATATTTTTTCTTCCATCAACAAATGATGACTAATAGTGTTTGAATGCAGAAGAGTGTATTGTTGGTTTGTTAATAGCATCTCATATACAAAAAATTACTTTCTTTTCCGGTATCTACCTCAAGAGAATGAACACAATTATTTGTATATATTGTTAAGCCTACACAGAAAAACATCTTATCAGTGTTGATATAATGCTTCTATGAACTTTAACTGTTTATTTTTAACTTCTAATTAGTATAGTAGTAGACGTTGTTTGAATTATATATGTAACTAACAAATCTAGATCATTTTTAGCTCATGACCTTTATTCTTCTCCATATCTATTACTGAAAACAATGTCGCTTGTAAGTTGATTCAATTATTATTTCGAAACAACATAATTGCATTTATTATATTGAATATATAAACATCCATATGATAAATAAATAAATCGATCGATGACAACAAAATGGAAATATAGGTCATCTATTTATTCAGTCTCAATTACGATCAATATATATATAGATACATTTTACTTTAAAATTCGTCATTCTTAATATCTTTTTAAATAGTTGTCCAACTATTTTGATTATCATCTATACAAATAAAATGAGCGAAAATTAAATAAATAGCAAAAAAGGTTCATTAATGTACATATCGTTGATTACTGCTTTGCTAGTTTACTAATTTTAATTATGTTAGTATTTTATCCATCATTCATTGATATAAAGAAACAATAGATTTATTTCGCTTTTCATTCTTTAATATTTCTATGCTCATTTCCGGATTGTTTTTCTTTCAATGCATCTCAAACGTTTTCGATGGTCTAGACATTAGCTAATTTTGTAGCACAATTTCTTCATTCAATAAGAAGATGTTCAAAGTCCCTTGCATCCTTTATTTCTGTTCTTGATCATCTTGAAAAATAATATTTCCTGAATTATCTAATTCTTCTGTCGCTTTTTATATCACAATAGCAAATAATTGATATAACAATCTATTTTGATTCAGTTGCAATAGGCTAATCTTGAAATGTACAGAAATAAAAGTATGCCATTCAAAGAGAACTTTTCTATTCTCACACATCTCCAGAAAATATATTGAATTATATCAATTCCCAAGGAGACAAGAATTTGGAGAAACGCGTTTAAACGCTCAATCGGGAACCGCGATTGTATTTCGTTCATGCTCGAAAAAAAACGCCGTTTTATCGATTTTTGGCGTTTTTTTCATATAATTTCTAGTTTTTGAACGTGAAAGCGATAAAAAAATCCAGTTTTAAGCGTTAAAACGTACTTTTACTTCTGTAGTTTTCTGCAATCTGAAAGCAGTGCATTTTAACGCTAAAAAAACTGGATTTTTTTGTCGCTTTCACGTTCAAAAACTAGAAATTATATAGAAAAAAA